GAAGGTGGTGGGGTGTCTGTGAAGGTGGTGGGGTGTCTGTGAAGGTGGTGGAGTGTCTTTGAAGAAGGTGGTGAGGTGTCTTTAAGGAAGGTGGTGGGGTGTCTTTGAAGAAGGTGGTGAGGTGTCTTTAAGGAAGGTGGTGGGGTGTCTGTGAAGGTGGTGGGGTGTCTGTGAAGGAGGTGAGGTGTCTTTAAGGAAGGTGGTGCATTGTCTGGGAGGGTGGTGGGAAGCAGAGCGGTAACCAAATGGCCCACTGTCCTGGTCACATTGATTCCATTTTCCCTGCAGGAGAAGTGTCACCAGTACTGGCCCGACCAGGGCTGCTGGACATACGGGAACATCCGAGTGTGTGTGGAGGACTGCGTGGTCCTGGTGGACTACACCATCAGGAAGTTCTGCATCCAGTCTGTACGTACGTCCCCAGGTCCAGACTGCGCACAGTGTCCGCCTGTGACGAGCTTGGCACCCCAGTGTTTCAAGGGCTCCTGCTGAGAGGGGGTACTCCTGTGGCCAAGGGGTGGAGGAAGTGGCCAGGCAGGGCTGAGTGGGTGGACATGGGCGGGCAGTGGATGTGAGTCAGCAGAAGTGGACCTGAGGCACAAGTCCATGAGAGAATAGGATAGAAGCTTCTAGAAACTTGTGTCCAACAGTGGTCATTCTAGACTTCTAGGAGAAAGTCAAGCAAGTTGTGGGGGCATGGCAGTTGAAAGTCCTTTTCTATAACACACTGAAATTGTGAGGCTGGACTCCAGGAATCTTTGACAGTTTCTCAATCACATATGAAACGTCCTCATTTTTTCCATACTTAGTTCCTCTTGTTGTTGTATACTGTTAAGTCGGAACCAACACATAGCTGACCCTCGGCAGGTTTTCTGAGGCAGTAACTTATACGGGGGAGATTGCCCATCCTTCTCCTGCAGAGCAGCTGGTGGATTCGAACTGCAAGCCTTCTGGATTGCAGCACAGCTTCCACCAGGCCATGAGAGTGTCCTCCTAGCTCCTGCAAAAAGAACTGAAGTCTGTCTTCAATAAAAAATACCTGGATACAAAGCAGATGGAATAGAATTGTATGAGGTTCATAAGACCGTAGAAAAGCAGAAGGCTGTTTATCAGGGATCAAAGATTGAGCAATCGAACCATTACAATGGTTTGATCACAAGGTCTGTCGCTGAGGTTTCTAGAAGCCAGAGCAAAGAAGGGAAAGGATGAGCCTTATCTTTGTTACGTCTCCTCTCACACACGCACTCAAGCACATGTGCACGTCCTCACATCACACGCACACACAGCACATGTGCACGTCCTCATGTCACACACACAGCACATGTGCACGTCCTCACGTCACACAGCATGCATGCACGTCCTCATGTCACACTTACACAAGCACATGTGCACACGTGCATGTCCTCATGTCACACGCACATGCACAGCCCCTCGCCTGTGGCCACAGAGAACAAGACTTTAGAGTCTGGGTGGCAAAGCTGAGGGCATGGCCTGGAGTCCAGTGCATGGCACATCTTCCATGCACTGGGGAGGGACAGAAGTGCTGGCAGTGACCCCAGGCACAAAGGGCATGTCCCAGCTGCCTGTCCATCTGCAGGCCTCGAGCCTCAGGCCAGCTGTGGGTGGCTTCAGGCATCCTGGGGCCTGCCTGTCCTGGGCTGTGAGGGCACCCACTGGGCCTGCTGTCCTGTCCCCCTAGCACTGTCCACAGCAGCTGCACCTCCCACTCAGCGACCCCCACCAGCATGGGCCTGGGGATGGGACAGCTGTTTGAGCTTCATCAGAGAAGATGTTGGGGTGGGACAGTGACGTGGCACCTGCTCAGGGTTCCCTAACCCTTGCTCGTGTCCCCACAGCTTCCTGACAGCAAAGCCCCACGGCTTATCTCCCAGCTGCACTTCACCAGCTGGCCCGACTTTGGGGTGCCCTTCACGCCCATCGGGATGCTGAAATTCCTGAAGAAAGTGAAGACCATCAACCCCACACATGCTGGGCCCATCGTGGTCCACTGCAGGTGAGTGGCCGGCCGCTGAGGTGATGACCGCGGAAAGGTGTTGGGGAGAGTTGCAGGCGGCACCCCGTGGAGCACAGCACTGGTATCGGGTGCCATCCTGGAGAACACAGCAGGGCCCCTGTGGTCACTCAGTCAGAACTTGCAGATGCTGGCCAAGCCCGCCTACCCCAGCCTAGCTCTTCCCACGGCTCCTGTGGTCTTTCAGGCTGAGGGGCAGGGGCAATGAGATGAACCTGGTGTCCGGTCCACTTGGGAGCTGAGGGGCCTCGAGTAAGCTGACCTTGGACCTCACCTTCCTGCACTGTGAAACAAAAATGGCCATAACGGTCTACTGTTAACTAAAAGGGGGGTGTCAAGTCCACCAAGAGGTGTCTCGGAAATAAGGCTTGCATCTTAACTCCGGCACTGCAAACCCGGAGCTTGGGTCTGCTGTGACATGTACAGAGTCACCATGAGCAGAATCCATATAATGACAGGGGTGGGTGTGTGTGTGTGTGTGCGCGCGCGCACGCTCAGCCTTGCAAACCCCACAGGAGCTTGCGTCTGCTGTGACATGCATGGGGTCACCATAAGCAGAGTCCATACAATGGCAGGGAGGCGGGGGAGGGGTGTGTTCTCAGCCCTGCAAATCTCACGGCGTCACCATGAGCAGAATCAATGCAATGGCTGGGTGTGTGTGTGTGTGTGTGTGTGTGTCCAGAAGGGCAATGGGGTGTGCTGGGAGAAGGACCCCCAGAGCCAGGAGGAGGGCAGCTCCAAGGAATGACCATGCCACAGGAGCTGAGGACTGACTGGCATGTCACCTAGGGACCAGGCTCTTGACGTTTCTGATTGTTGTTGTCATTGTTGTTGAGTGCCCCTGTGAATGACCTACCTGAACTCTGTCCAAGCCTGCGCCGTCGCCACCATCTCGGACGTGCTGGAGTCCACTGTGGCTGTCACGGGTCCGTCAGGGTCGCTGAAGGGCTTCCTCTTCCTCGCTGACCCTTTGCTTTTCCCAGAGACAGCATGCAGCACCCCCTGGTGGCCACACACTAGCCATCAGGTCCACTGCTGTCCATGGGGTTTGGACTCAGTGACCCTCAGCAGGTTACTGGGGCTGTAAATCTGTATAGAGGCGTGTGCTCAACTGTCTCCCAGGGCGCGGCTGGTGGGTTAGAACCACTGACCTTTTGTTCAACAGCTGACCCACAGCAGCATTGCAGTAATGTCAGAACCGGCTCTGCTGACCTTCAGTGGGTTTCCCGGTTCTGGAGGTCGCACGGGAGGAGCCGCTCATCTTTCTCTGACTTGCTGCCACTTGGATTCGCCCTTATTAACCGCAGGAAATGCACCAGCGTCCTCCCGGGAGCAGCCTCTGCTGTAGGGGGGCCCCATCCAGTCCTTGACGTGGGCGGTCACTCACCACCTGTGTCCCTTCCTCCCAAGCGCGGGCGTGGGCCGCACTGGCACCTTCATCGTCATCGATGCCATGATCGACATGATGTTCGCTGAACAGAAGGTGGACGTCTTCGAGTTTGTCTCCAGAATCCGCAACCAGCGTCCCCAAATGGTTCAGACCGACGTGAGTGCCCTGCCCTCTGGCCCAGCCTCATCTGCGTTAGAGCCGCACAGTCACCACCATGGGGCCTACGGAAGCCCAGGGCTGCATGCTAACCACTGCCGTGCTGTGCCCTGCACCCCACAGCTGAGGCTGACCCAGTGTGTGGCACCCCACAGCTGAGGCTGACCCAGTGCCCTGGGCCCCACAGCCGAGGCTGACCCAGCGTGCGGCACCCCACAGCCGAGGCTGACCCAGTGCCCTGGGTCGCACAGTCACATTCAGCTTGTCCCACCCAACAGATATAACCTCATGGTGTCCTGTACCCCACAGCTGGGACTGTCCTTTCCCTTGGACTCACTGCCCACTTCACTCCCTTCCCCCCAGTGGGCACTAGTGCCCGATTACAGGCAGTACCTGTCCAGCAGCCTGTCTGGGCCAGAGAACCTGACTCACTGTCCCTGGGACCCCCAGACCTTCCCTTGCCCCCTATGCCCTAAGTCCTCCTGTGAGTGGGGATCCTACCACCATCCAAGGGTGCCTGGCAGGGGGGAAGTCCTCAGTCATTTGTCATCAGTCAAGGAGCCCTTCTGGTGAGGTGGATTTAGCCTTGGGCTATTAACCAAATGGTCAGTGGTTTGAATCTGCCAGCTGGACCAGGGGAGGCAGACATGGCGGTCAACTTCCATGCAGGTGGCAGCTTGGAGAGCCCATGAGGACAGTTCATCTCTGTCCCACAGGGTTGCTGTGAGTTCAAATCCACTGGACTTCCGGTCTGGTCATTACAATCTTTACTCAAGGGCTGAAATGAGCCAGGCGTCCCTCCCCTGCCCCCTGGGTGGCACCGTGAGCAGGAGAGGCTGCCGGGCAGCGTTGAGGCCCCATTCTCTCATCCGCAGATGCAGTACACATTCATCTACCAAGCATTACTGGAGTACTACCTCTACGGGGACACGGAACTCGACGTGTCCTCCCTGGAAAAGCACCTGCAGGCGCTTCACAGCTCCGCCAGCCACTTCGACAAGGTGGGGCTGGAGGAGGAGTTCCGGGTAGGTGCCGGGCCCTGAGGGGTGGCTGGTGGGGTTGCACAGATATTAGCCTCCTTTGTCCCTCTTTGGAACGAATGGCCAGGCAGGATTGTACAGGTTTCACAGGTACCCCTCAGAGCAGGTGGTGCCCGGGGCTGCACGGGGGCCCCTTAGACCTCTCTTCAGGTCAGGTGGCCAAATGGAGCCACACAGGAACAAGGAAAATGGGTGGCTAGAAAGGAGCCTTGGTCAACCAGCACCTTCTGTGTGAGCCCCAGAAGGCGGGAGGTGCCTGACTGGATTCAGGAGGACGCTGTGCCCAGGGCGAGAGCCAGGCCAGGGAGTGTGTGCATCTGCCAGGGTCCCTGTCCAAGGCTGCCCTCCTAACACAGACACCCTCAGAGACACTGGGTGTTCGGTCCCAGGGCCCTACAGGAAAGTGAACGTGGCAGTAAAGCGGGTCACGTGAGTGTGCACAGAGGAGGGAGGGTTGCCGTTGTCTTTGAAGACACCGGTGGCATGATGCAAACATTAGAGATCTCGTGAGACCAGCATGTGGCACAGAGGCACGGGGAGCGCCTGCTGATGGGAAAGGGGCGCAGTCATGCTTGACGACAAGCAGTCCTGTGAGGTGCAGGGAGGACCCCCGTCCTTCAGGGGCTGGGCCCTGACCGCCTGGGTGCTCTTCTGATGCAGAAGCTGACCAATGTCCGGATCATGAAGGAGAACATGCGGACGGGCAACCTGCCGGCCAATATGAAGAAGGCCAGGGTCATCCAGATCATCCCCTGTAAGGCTGCCTCGCTGGGCTGGGGGCGGGGCGGGGCGGGGACAGGGCTGGGGGCGGGGTGAGAACAAGACTGTGCGGGGACAGGGCTGGGGGAGGGACAGGGTGGGGACAAGGTGAGGACAAGACTGTGCAGGGACAGGGCTGGGCTGGGGCAGAAATTAGTGGAGCTGGCCCTGTGGACTCACTTCTTAAAACCCTGCTGAGGAGTTTGTCTTTTGCTTTTCAAGGAGAGGAGCGAACTGGGGGTGGGGAGAAAAGTGCAACAATGAATGAATGGGATTCCAAAATCTCTATAGATGTTCATTGAAATTATTATTATTAAAAACCCAAAACGCCCCGTTGAACCCCTCCTGTGAACTGAGGGGCAGCAGCAGGATGCGTGTGCCCAGTCGGGACGGGGCTGCTGGTGCCATGAGGCTGCAGCTCAGCCCGTGCTGCTGTGGGGCCGCCGTGGGGCTCGGAAGTGGAGAGGGCAGTGGGGCTGGAACAGCCTGTCCTGGAGGCTGGCGTGTTGCTGTGGCGCTGGACGGGTGTCAGCAGAGTGCCCAGTCTAGGGCAGGCTAGCGGGCAAGGCCTGGCTAGTGCTGCCCATGTGGGCTGTGAAACCATGTGCAGTCCAGTTATCTGCTGGTCGTAGGGTTGGCTACCCAAACGCTCTTTCTATTGCTGAAATACAGCCATTTAAATTTGGCATGGATTACATCAGAAAGTAATGGAAAACAAATATAGCAGCTACACCCTTCCCTGGATATGTTGCTGGTTCGGTTGCAAAGAGCCAGTCAGGTGACTGTTGCAGTAGAGCCACGTGGGCTTTGCCCAGAGCATAGAAGACTCCCAGTGGTGGTCTCCTACAGCCTGTGATGTCACAGCCTGAGGGAAAGTGTGAAATGCTGTGAGAAAGGCCAAAACAGGACACTGAGATATGACAAGAGCACGTGCTCTTGGAAAAATGGTGCAAACAGACTTGCATAGTTCCAGAGGTGTTACTGGTTTGTCTGCAAAAAGCACTTGGAAACAGGTTCTAGATGCCATGCAGACTGGCTTAGTAAAATCCCTCTTCCGCAGATGACTTCAATCGTGTGATCCTTTCCATGAAACGGGGTCAGGAGTACACGGACTACATCAACGCCTCCTTCATAGATGTGAGTTGGGGCCTAGTGTGGAGATGCGTGCTCAGCACCCCCGACACACACGCACACACGTACATGGGCTCGGGGCGGCTCAGCTGTCCACACATGCAGCCCACATCACTAGCACGATTCCCCTCTGACAGTAAATGAATAGATGTTGCTGTGTACTGTCAAGTTGGAACTGACTCATAGCTGACCCTCAGAAGCTGTAAATCGCAAAGGAGGAGACTGCCCATCTTTTTTCTGCAGAGCAGCTGGTAGATTTGAACCATGTGCCTTTGGGATTGCAGCCCCGAGAGGCCACCAGAGCTCCCTAAATGCACCTTGGAACCTGAAGAGCATAGACACATTACCAAGTGATTTTCTAGTTGTTTTTCTCTCTGCTTTTGATAGACGGTTACTAGACATTGATGATGTTCTTGTATAACTTATTTGGCCGTTAACTGAAAGGCTGGCAGTTAGAATCCAGTGGCCAGTCACTGTGGGAAAGCTGAGCAGCTCCTGCCATTCTGATTTGCAGCCTTGGAGACCCAGTGAAGGGTCACTGAGTCGGAGGCCACTCAACGGTGGTGGATTTCTGTGTCCACGTGACAGGTGTGCACCTAGCCCTGTCTTACAAGTTTCGGGTGATGTCTGTCACGTTCACCCAGGTGCACTGGACACTGAGGCTGGCCAGGGCTCACAGGCACTGCAGCTGTGTGCCCAGTGGGGTGAGCGGCTGTGTGGGCAGGAAGGACACAACTGACGAAGCAGATGTGCTGCTGCCAGGAGGGTTCACGTGAGGAGCTGAAGTTTGAACCCGCTTCCTCATTCCCCTCCCAAGGACCTTTGCTCCACACCTTCACGCCTATTTAGTTTGATGTAAAGCAGAATCAGAGCTATCAGGGGTCTTCCTCAGAGGGCTGCAAGGGACCACCAGCTCACAACACCCATCCTAGGTGACCTCCGTGCCACATTCAGGGGCAGACCTGGTGGTCTGGGTCAGTGGCCTGGGTCCAAGCCAGGAGGACCCCAGCACTGTTCTGAACATGCACCTTGTGGCCGGCTGGTGCCAGCCTGGCTGTGGAAGCCCTGAGAAGCCCCTCCGTCAGCCTTCCAGGCCCCGCGGTGGACGACCACAGCAGACTCAGGGTGAACCGTGTCCCCTCACTTACAGGGCTACCGGCAGAAGGACTATTTCATCGCCACGCAGGGGCCGCTGCCACACACGGTTGAGGACTTCTGGAGGATGGTCTGGGAGTGGAAGTGCCACACCATCGTCATGCTGACCGAGGTCCAGGAGCGAGAACAGGTCAGGATGCTGCCCAGCCTCCAGAGGGCAGTGCTGCACACAGGGGCCAGTGACCAGTGTCTCTTTGACGTCAGCCCTGCGCACTGTGTGTGCACGACTGTGTGTGTGTCCGTGTGTTGTCCCTCTGTGTGGTGGTGTGGTCCACTGGGTCGGAACCGACCTATAGCTGACCCACAGGTGGGCTTTCAGAAGTGAATCACACTAGAGGAGATCACCCATCTCTCTCCTGTGGAGCAGCTGGTGGATTCGAACCACAGGCCTTCCTTCTTTGGGTTGTCAGAGGAGCCCTTCACCACTAAGTCACCAGAGCACCGTGTGTGTGTGTGTGTGTGTGTGTGTGTAAGTCTCTTCACAGAAGCAGCCTGCCTCATCTGCCCCCACAGAGGTGGGTGGGCTGGAACTACCAACCTTTCAGGCAAGCAGTTGCTCTGCTCCTCCTTGAATGTAAGCCATAACCCATGTGGGGTAGTTATGATCAAGGTGTCAGGCCTAAGCCAGAATGGTGGGCACTGCCCACCTCCAGAGGGCTGTTGCTGTTGTTAGGGGCTGTTGAATTGTCACCAACACATTCCAAGCCACCGATCCACGGAATGAGGCCCTGCCCGATCCGGCACCAGCCTGAGTCTACACGTGCCCGCTGCTACAGTCACTGAGTCAGTCCTTCCTGTTGAGGTTTTCCTCTTATTAGAAACCTTTATGTCTCCAGAATGATGTCCATCTCCAGGCTGACTCCTACTGATAGGATACCCTAAGTATTTGAGACAAAGCGTCCTTGCTTCTAGGAACACTCTGGTGACATTCTTCCAGGATAGATTTGTTTGTTCTCTTGGCAGTCCATGACGTGTTCAATATTCTTCACAAACCCCACAGTAGTGAGGCATCAGTTCTCAGTCTTCCTCAGTCATTGTCCCACCGTCACACAAAGGTGAAGCCATGGGAAGCACCATGGCTTGGGGCGTGCGCACCCTAGTCTGTAAAGAACGTCCTTGCTCTTTAACTCTTTAAAGATGTCATCGTCAGTGGATTTGCTCAGTGCGTTATGTAGTTTGATTTCTTGCCTGCTGCTTCCATGGGCCTTGACCGTGGATCCAAGTAATTTTAAATACTAGACACATTCAGTCTTTTGTTGGTTCATCACATTGTTGCTCATTGGTCCACTTGTGAAGACTTTTCTTTCTTTATGTTGAGGTGTAATCCATATTGAAGAGGCTTGGGGACGTTTCTGTTGGTCCTAGTATGAGTTACAGTAACTGGTATGAGTTACAGACCCGATTTCATTTTCCCCAAACAGAAAACCATTTTCCAGCTCCATCAATGAAATAGCCTCGCCTTCTCAACACGGAACTGTCTATTTCTGAAGTTCTGTCTAGACACAGACTCTCGATGCTGTCCCCTTGGCAGCAGGCGTGACTCGGCCTCCATATCCGTGTCCATCTGTTGTGTTCTTGGTCAGGTGGTGTGAGAGCAATTCTTCGAGTGATGTCTGTGATTTTTGCCCCCAGGATAAATGCTTCCAGTACTGGCCAGCAGAGGGCTCTGTTATTCACGGAGACGTCACCATTGAGCTCAAGAGCGACACCCTGTCCGAGGCCATCAGTGTCCGAGACTTCCTGGTCACCTTCAAGCAGGTAGTGCTGCCAGGCTGTCTGGGCCTCACAGCGGTCTGCTGGGCCTTGTGCCAGGTGTGCCCACACCTGCTGTGCCCCGTCCTCCTCTCCCCAAGCCCCCCTACATTGTGAGTGGTTGGTGTGACCAGTAGGGACATAGGCTATCCCGTGGCAGGACCATAAAGTGGTGGCCTGACCCCATGGTCACCTAGCACCTTGCTAGCGGGTGGGGCAGAGGGACCACTCGAAGAGTACCCCATATTTCCTGGCCCCACTACCCTCTAGAAGAAATTCAGCCTGAAACGGGGGACCCTGAGTACATGGAAGCACAGGGACCCACCAGTTCCCATCCCGGCGGCCTCTTTAGAGCCCCCAAGGTCCACCTTTCCGTCCTGTCCCTAGCTCAGTCACGGTGACAGTGCTGGCAGTGCTGGGCCAGTTGGCCTGAGGAGGAATAGAAACTCCCAATTAGCAGTACAGAGGTGCCTGTGGAGTCCTGAGCTCCCCGGGCAGCTCCTAGTGACCAGCCCTCTGCTGGATTTCCAAGGCTGTAAATCTCAGCTGCAGCACACTGCCCGTCTCTCTCTCAAGGAATAGCTGGTGGATTTGAACAGACAACCTTTCAGTTAGCAGCACATCACGTGTGGCTCTAAGCCACCAGAGCTCCTTGATCTTACTTTTTAAAAGCCCTCTCACTGCTGTCAAGTCAGAAGTGACTCAGAGCTGACCCTTCAGCAGGTTTTCAGAGGCTGTAAATTAAATGGGAGGAGATTGCCCATCTTTCTCCCAAGGAGCAGCTGGTGGATTCAAACCATAAGCCTTTGGGCAACAGCACACTCCTTAGCCACTGGCTATGAGCGCTCCCTAGCCTTACTTTAACGCAAGAAAAGGGAGATTTCATGGCACTCTGGTTAAGGCATTTGGCAGCTAATCAGAAGGTCTGTGGTTCAAATACACTCCTTGGAACAAATATGCGCAAGTCTGCAGCCATGCAAACGGGTTTGGAGACACTATGGGCAGACTCCCCTCCCCAGAGGGTCACACGGAGTCAGACTAGACTTAATGGTCTGAGTCTGTTTGTATTCCAGGTAACAGAAATCTCAGAGCCTTTTCTGTGGTTTAAAAGCTGAGGTGCAGCAAGTGAAGCGTTTGTTCCAAAGAGGGATTGGTTCACTTTAGACCAAGGGCAGAAGGAGGCGTCTCCTGTCTGACAGAAACCAGGCTTGATGGTTTCCAGAGCCTCCCTCACTGCAGCCGGACCCTCCTCCCAGCGCCCCTTCTTCCCGAGCACCCACGGAGCCCAGGGCTGTCAGCTCAGGGACCCCAGCCCACCTCTGGGCCCTCAGCATGCACCGCCGGTGCGGGCTCCACAGGATCAAGGTGCTCCTCCTGCTCTGGGCAGAACCCAAAGAGCAGCAGCAAGGCCTCTGCCGTCCCGGGCCGCTCAGGAGTGCTAGCAAATTGCTAGTGTCATGGTGACCACGGCTGTGGCCAGCCTGCCCTGCCTGTTCTGAACCTGGCGGGGGCAGAGGTGAGAGGGCCGTGCAGGTGACACCTTGTCATGTGTCACCTGTAGCCGCTGGCCCGGCAGGAGGAGCAGAGTCGCCTGGTGCGTCAGTTCCACTTCCACGGCTGGCCTGAGGTGGGCATCCCCGCGGAGGGCAAGGGCATGATCGACCTCATCACTGCTGTGCAGAAGCAGCAGCAGCAGACAGGCAACCACCCCATCACCGTGCACTGCAGGTGAGCCTTACCCCCATCACGACGTACTGCAGGTGAGCCCTGCCTTCCCCCAGCCTTCACCCCCCTTACCATGCACTGTCGGTACAGCCACACCTCTGTCATGCACTGCACGCAAACCCTGTCCCCATCACATACACCTGGAGATCTGTCACAGCCCTATCACATCCCCTGCAGGCAAGCCCCACCTCATTCACCATGCAGGGCAGGTGAGCTCCACCCCCTCATGTACATGGCAGGGACAGCTCCTGCTGGTTCCCCACTGGAGGACCCACTGCATTACCATACTTCAGTTGAAGCCTAATCTCTTTTCTCACCCTCACTTCCAAGATGAGGCCCTCTTTTTTCTCTCTGTCTGTCTCTCTCTCTCTCTCTCTCACATACACACACAGGTGAGGTGCCTGTCCACTGCAGGCAGCACTGCAGCCCTGCTCACCCACACCCAATTCACCCCACCCTGGCTTGGAGATTAGGCTCTTTCTTGGTCAGACTCTCCCAGCTTGGCGAGTAGATGACACACGTGCCCACTGTCTGCCTTTGGCACCTTCAGTAAGGTCAATGGGCATTAAGTCAGTGCCCCATGCTCCCCTCATGCTTCCACAAGCCCCAACCAGGTGGACTGTACCCAGGACCAAGCCTCACACTGTGCCATAAAGGCCGGTTGCAGCCCGATTCCTGAAATGGCCTTCTAGGAGGGCTCTGGAGGGGCCAAGTGGCAGGGAAGACTCACAGGGATGAGGATGGAAACAAAGATCCACTTGATCCGTTACAAGGTAGCCATCTGGTTAAAACCCCTGCCACTGAGCTCCACTTTGCGACCCTTCAGAACCGAGTGGACAGCCTATGCTGCATGCCTTTATAGGGTAAATCACTGGCCAGCACATGACCCACTGTGCCACCAGGGCTCCTGGTTAAAGGCACCTACATGGGGCCCCAATTTCCATTCCCGGGTCTTTGGTTTCAGAGTTGTATGTTTCTTCATCCTGTTCCGAGGTCCAGTGCCCATCAATGACATAGTCACTCTGTGGCGGCTGAGGTTTCCCCATGGATGGGGGTGCCTGGCTGCTCAAGGCTGGACCACCTGCATGAAGTGCTTTCTCTCCGCAGCGCTGGAGCTGGACGAACTGGTACCTTCATTGCACTAAGCAATATCCTGGAGCGTGTGAAGGCTGAGGGGCTTCTTGATGTATTCCAGGCAGTGAAGAGCTTACGGCTTCAGAGGCCACACATGGTGCAAACCCTGGTAAGAACCAGCCGAGGAGCACACTCCCGGGAGGCCTAGGGCTTGTCTAGGTCGTGGTGGGCGTGTTTCACTAAAGGAACTCATGTAGGGGGGGTGAGGGGAGGTAAGACACCTGAGGAAGCTGGCACATGGAAGCTGTGAGGACCCCTTGCTCCTCACCTGGCTCAGGACTGTCCTCTGGGTGGGAAGGGCAAGAGCTTATACTTCACTTTCGATGGACGAAATGCTGACACGCAACTTCCGAGTCAAAGTAGACTGTCCAGTGGAAACCTTGTTGTTGCTGTTGTTAGGTGCCCTTGAGTCGAGTACAATTTATAGTGACCCCCATGAACAACAGACCTGAAACCTGTCTCCTCCTGTGCCATCCTCATCATCTGACGCACTAGAGCCCATTGCTGCAGTCACTGTTTTGGGGGGAAGTCTTCCCTTCTTTCACTGACCCTCCACTTTTCCAAGCATGATATCCCTCTCCAAGCAATAGCTTCTCCTGCAACATGTCCAAAGTGTGTGAGATGAAGGTTCACTATCCTTGCCTCCAAGGGGCACTCCGGCTGCACTTTCTCCAGGTCAGATCTGTTCTTTGTGTGTGTAAGGTGCAGTGGCAATATGAGAAGGCCAAGTCTGACTTACACCACTTCAAAAAGGGGCAGTGTCCTCATAAATAACAGACATAGAACTAAACAAGCAGCAACATGGTCAGACATGCCACCCTCCGTGATCTTGCTCCTCTTCCTACAAATCACTGGGTCCAGTGCTCATTGCAAATTGACTCAGAAACTTGACTCACAGTTGTGGAGTTTATTAGGAAAATAGCTTGAGTTGGGTGAGGCAAAGAATATCACACAATGCGAGTGCATATTTAGTCCAGAAGTCCCAAGCAAGATTAACAAGGCACAGTTCCTCAATTAGTTCAGACAGCTTCTCAGTCAACAAGTGAAAATCTAGATTCAGTTCAGCAGGACAAATAAACTGCTGCTTTCCTCAATCGTCCAGCAAACTTCATCTCAGAGCAGTTACAGGTCATCCAGCAAGCAAAACCTCTAACTGTGGCTCCATCTCCAGGGTTCCTCTGGTTACACCTTGCTACAGTTACTTCACAGTCTCTCCAGTGCTACAGTCTCTTCACACTCTCTCCATCACCATCTCTCACAGTGTGGAAAGTGCTCTCTTATACTGGTGCCACAGTTGTTGATGATCTGTCTGCAGGTGAGGTACTAGGAGACCATCCCCCACACAGGGGCTAATACAATGGATGGAAAGACACTTTTCAAGGTTTCTGACACCACACAGTCCATGGGATAGTCATTGCTCTTCTCTAGCACCACAATTCAAAGGCATCAGTTCTTCTTCTATCATTCTTATTCTTTGTCCAGCTCTCAGATGCACAGCAAGTGATTGAAAAGACCATGGCCTGCATCAAACACACTTTAGTCTTCAACTGGCATCAGTGCTCATCAGTATTTTGGAGAGTTCCTTGACAGCAGACTTTCCCAGAGCAGATCCTAGTGAGCACTAAAAAGTGCACGCCCCAGAAGCACCTTGAAAGTGCCTCTAAAGTGAGTCCTCTTCTGTGGATTACAAGCAGCCAGTGTGCTCCTCAGAGGCAAGGCTGGTGAGAGAGCCTCTCACCTACTCTGAGCTGTCAGGAGGGACTAGTCCCTGGAGAAGGCAGGCCAGCATGCTTGGGAAAGTAGAGGGTCAGTGAGAGAAAGGAAGACCTTGCAAGGAGCTGGACTGAGCCAGTGGCTGCAGCACCGGGTGCATATGCTGCAGGCTGTGAGGACGACGCAGGATTGGCCGTCTCCTGTTGTACAGGGGCCCCTGTGAGTCGGAGCAGACTCGATGGTACCTCACACACCTAAGTGCACAGCTGGACTGTGCTCCTCAATACGGCCAACCAGGTGAAGCCACAAAGGCAGCTTCTGCCAGCAACAAGGCTCCGAAGGTGGGAAGGGGAGAAGGGCGAGTGGAAATGGAGAGCCTGAGAGGAGGCAGGGAGAGTGCTGTGACATTGACGGAATTGCAGTGTCAATAAGGAAACATGTAGTGTTTGACTCTGTAGGGTTTTGATCCCGGCTGTACACACTCCGCTGAGAGGGTCATGTCCAGTTGTCCAGGTTGCCCATCAAGTCACCCAGACTAAAGCAATACTAACAGTCCATCTTTGACTCCTCATGGTCTCACCCCTGGAGTTAGAACTCTCACATCCCAGGAGATCTCAGCGCCAGTTTGTGATGTGGCTCGTCTTCCCCTGGGCGCACAGATGGTTAAGTGCCGGACCACTAACTTGAGGGTTGGATGTTCAAACTCACCCCAGGGTGCCTCGGAAGGCAGGCCTGGATATCTGCTTCTGAAAGGGTGCAGCCCTGAAACTTAGCTTTCATAGAATACTGTTTATGGCATTATGAGGTTTGTACTTTTTTCTTTCTTAGCTTCAAAATGAGTTATTCTCCAGTCTGAATATGAACACTAGAGACATTTTAATTAGCCTGTTTTAAAACGTACCAAACTAAGCTGACACTAAATACTGACATTTTTTCTACAGCTTTTTTGAGACTTACATTATGTGTCTGAGTGAACTGGTGGCTTAGTGGTAAGGAATTGCGCTGCCAGCCCAAAGGTACACAATTCACATCCACCAGCATCTTCGTGGGAGGATGGACAATCTCCTCCCATGCGATCTATGGCCTCGGAAAACCCGCTGGAGGGTCAGCTAAGGGTTTGTTCCAACTTGATGGTGCACAGTAACCCTACGTGTATCTGATACTGCTTGGGAAAGTCGAGGGTCGGTGGGAGAGGGGAAGACACTCACCGAGAACTGACAATGTGAAGAGTGAAGGTTGCAACATTGGGCCTGGAGGAGGTGCAGGTCAGGATGATGATGCTGGAGACGGCAAGGCTTTGATCTGTTGTTCATGGGGTCGCTATCACTTAGAGTCATCCAATGTGTGTGGTGATTAGATTCTGTCCCAGAAGCTAACAGGCATATAAGCATACCAGAGTGTAAAAAGGACACTTGTTCATGTTTCTCCCCAGTAAGTTAAAGAGTGTTTGAAAATGTTATTTTAATGTATTCTTTTTTTCTTTTTCAGGAACAGTATGAATTCTGCTACAAAGTGGTACAAGATTTTATTGATATATTTTCTGATTATGCTAATTTCAAATGAAGACTCTGCCTTAAAATATTTTTTAATTTAATGGTCAGTATCATTTGTACAGATCATGTTAATTTATTTCGGAGCTGATATTAATATTCTTCCTTATTTCTCTGGACATATTTTGCTATGCTTCAGCAGCCACTTGCCATCAAACCATTAAGTCATAAATACTCCTTGGTAAAACTTGGAATAACATTAAGGCCAAATCATAGTCCACAAACATGTATGTCTCTGCTAACATCAGTAAACATTGCCCGTTTTCTTCATGGGATTCTCACTGTTCAGGTTCAGTTTTCGCTTCTGAATGACGGCATGCTTATGTGCCAGGCAGCTGTGCAGGACTGGAGACAGCGGCCATCAAGGGCGAGGACTCGGAAGCCCAGCGGCCACACCCTCATGCTCATTTCACAACTTCAGAAGCAGCACTGCCTTTTTTCTTTTTGGTTTTCTTGGAAAGCAACCTGGTGGCTGCAGGTGAAGCTCCAATATAAATAAGGGATTTTTCTAAGCCAGTTGCAGCCTGTGGTCATTTGACACTTGAAGAATGAAAGAGAGCTTGCTCATCTGTGCCTGAGCCTAGAAGGCACCCGTGGGTCTGCACTTAAGATGCACTTGTTTGAACCACGGGGTCGGGGACACCGCCGTGCCAGGTGGTCAGCGTGGCCCATGGCCTTGAGGACACCAAGCTGCCATCCACAGCACCCTGCTGTCCACCCCTCTGTGTGCTGACTCGGAATCTGAGAGTTGACTGATGACATCTCTCAGCCTCCCTCTTCTGCTACAGATACTGATCTGGTCCAGAGGCCAGACCCAAACCACCTCCAAGCCCGGACCTCCTGGTGAGCCAGACACACTGCACAACGTGCGCCAATGACCACAGGCAACTACACTTCCAGTTTTCTGAGAAGCATTTTGGTATTTAAAAACCCTCTTGTAAAAAGTTCAGATTGTTTGTAAAACGAAAAATGTCTTAAAATCTATTTAGATTTATACCGTTTTTTAAAGATCTGCTCCACAATATTTAATAAAAGAAGACAGAGAGAGAGAAAAGAGTGAGAGAGCTCACCCTTAATGTCAAGGCTAGCTTATTTTTAGATGGAAATACTACTGAACCACTGAGGGGGAATGGTAGGGCCCAGAGCCAGACAGGATCAGTGTAAGGGCCTAGAAGGGGCAGAGCTGAGTGACATGTGCAATGAGGCAGCATCCTAGGACCATCAGGTACCTCGCAGATAAGCACAATTTAAAAAAAAAAAAAGCAGCAGCAGCAGATGACGTTTGGTCTATCTCACGGAACACATTTGCCACGTGCAATATTTTGGTACCTTTTTTTTGCTTTTTGAGAGCACTAGAAAAGGCTTTACTTGCCATAGCCACTGAGAAGGGAGTTGGCCTCTATTGCACCGTTCACCCCTTTGTTTTTGTGTGTGCAGATGCACCCCAGTGCTGGTGGTTGCCTTACTAACAGTATTGAGAAGAAAGAGTCTCCCCGCTTCTGCAGGTCCACCCTGGATGAGAGGTGCCCAGCCAAGCACACAGGATGGACCCAGTCACCATCAGTCACCCCAGGGCTCCCAGCTGGGCTGCACTCTGTCTCCCTGGAGCCAGTGAGCAGCAGGCGCCTGTGAGCCCTGATGGTGGGTTCTGACGGAATGGGAGATGGAGAGCACCCCAGATGCACTGGCCCATCAGCTTTCTGTTGAAGTCCCAAATCCAGGAGTGTTCCTTTGACTCAAGGGGAAGGAGGCGCTGGGCCAGCTTGCTTCACGACGTGCAAGGTACTCAGTCCCACTCAGGGGCTGTGGAGCTGGAAGCCCTGGTGGCACAGCGGATCATGTGTTGGGTGCTAGTCAGCAATCTGAATGAGCAGCTGTTTTGTGGGAGAAAGATGAGGCTGTCTGCTCCCACGTAGGTCATAGAGCCTGAGACTCCAGGGTCACCACGAGGCAGCCTGGGCTCAGGGGCAGTCAGGTAGGTTGGAACTAGATGTAGGATTGGCTGGCATCTGTGCCTCAAAAATTTCCTTTAAGGTGGCCCTTCCTAGGAGTGTCCTCAGGAAACTCCGTCCAGGTTTGTCTCCCCTGACACCGTGGTTCGTCCCCAGGTACCTGCTGCAGGGTCAGAGCAGGTTCCATCCCCCGGGACCCATCTTAGGGGAAGCAGATGGCGGCCAGACTCCCCGGGATGCAGCCCTGACAAAGCAGTCCCTAGCTGGCCCTGCTTCCATGCTTGGCTGCTGACTGAGAAGCTGCCGGTTCCAGCCCCACCAGGAGCACCTAAGAATAAGGTCTGGAGATCTGCTTCCTTCCAGAAGGTGACAGCGATGAGAACCAGGGGGGAGGTTCTGCTGTGTACACGTGTCTCGTTATGAGTGGGGTCAGGTCAGCTGCCACCAGCAGGCTGCCCAGCTGAAGACCAGGGGTCAGCGCTGGGCTCAGCTCACCACTCCTTCCCCTTCAGTCAAAGCCCTGTATATACCGGAACTGCCACGATTTTCTATGTTGCATGCATTAAAATGCCAAATAGTGATTGGGAGGTGGCCCTCCTGATTGACCAGCTTTTCGGTCACTGTGTGACCACCCCCCTCCTTCATTTCCACGCTCTCGAGTGAGGCCAGTGCACACCCAGAATTATTTTTATGTGTTTTTAAGAAAACTTTTGACAAGGAGCCTGATACCTGCGTTTCAGCATTTGGAGAAATGTCCATGTTACTGGTTTTTTTAATGTCTGGTTACTGATACTTCTTGTTGTTGAACTAAGTTGTGTTGAATTTATGTTCCCTCTTTCTACGTATGTGTTACAGTTTCCGGTAGCACACCTCCCTTTGTTACATTTTTCCTTTGACCTTGCTCTGATGCCAGTGAATGTTGCTGCATTCTTTGTATATGCAAACTGCAAGATCTGATGAAAGGATAAACCTTTCCTTGGCCTCCCAGCCTCTGCCTCTTTATTCCTCTCGTCAGTGCATTCTTGGACCTTCACTCCTTTGACACAAGACACCCATCAGGAGGGGAGAGCTGATTCGTGCAGGTGACTTATTTCAAGATTCTTGACATTTTACTCGGAGTTACCACAAGGCTCAGAAATTGCACGTGTTGATAGAGACCCAAAAGAGCTGAAAGCAGAGACTCACTCAGAAATCTGAACATCAAAGCTTTAAACTCAGCACTACAGGCAACTGCCCCCGAAAGGGGGCAGCCTAAGAGTCCAGCAGCAACTAAATAAAGTGTGATATTGACATTCAGAAGGTGTGACTCAGCCTGAAGGAGAAAAGAGAGTGTTTCTAAATTATGTCCAATGGTTGAAGCAAAAATGTTAACAGTGCTGTCAGCTGTGGTTCTAAATCTGTGTAGCACAAAGATATAAAGTGATTGCTTTGTCAAAACGGGATGGTAAAGGGATGGAAAAGGAGAAAAGGTTTTTACAGCCATTCACATGGGTTAAAAGAAGACCCAGGAGGCTGTGGTGAGTCGCATATATATAATCGAGAAATGCTGTTAGGACTGTGAGGTCCTGGGGAGCAGGCGCTCTCACAGGAACCCTGCGTGTGACAGAAGGAAGCCCTGCCCAGGCCCACACCAGCCTCACAACTCTTGTCATGTCTGAACCCACCACTGTGGCCACTGTCAGTCCTTCTCATTAAGGTCTCTCTGTGGTTGACCCCTAAGAAAAGCTATACTGAGATAAAAATAAAACCCCAAAACAACCCAATGTACACACTGCTCAAACTGCACAAGGGAGTGCAGCTGCTTTTCCACCAGAAATGCCCAGACCTTAATGTAAGTGAAGAAGGAACAAAAATGGAAGCACGGCTTCCTGGGGAAGCCGCTCATTATTTTCTATTCTCATCACAATTGCATTTATTTTTCACTATTTGTACTTAAGGTTTACAGATCATATTCACAAGTGTATTTCAATATTAATATGCTAGGGAGGTCCGATGGCCTTGCGGTAAGAAGCTGCACTGCAGTCCCAAAGGCACGTGGTTCAAATCGACCAGGTGCTCCACAGGAGAAGGATGGGCAACCTCCTATGATTTACTGCTTCTGAAACCTGCAGGAGGGTCAGCTAGAAGTTGATTCTAACTCGACAGCATACAACATTAGGAAGACACCCAGGTATCAAACCTAGGGGCTGATAAAAAGCAGAAAGGGCTTTCTGTCCACATCACCCATCCCATCAGACTGGGGCCACTCGACCTCCTGGATAGATGCCCTGCTCCCTCATCCACTCAGGCTTCTCCCCACTATCCAGGGCTCAAATGACCACCACAATCCCCCTTTAGCTGTGTCAGCCCTCGGTCCCCACAGAGCCACTGTTCCAGCAGGTCACTGGTGGTCTGGGGAGGGTCCATGCCTGCTCCTTTCTCAACCCTGAAGTCAAGTCCCCATCGGTCAGGTCATTCCTGGTCTCCACTTTCCTGAAGTGGCAGCTAGAGGGAGGACAGAGTCGCAAAACAGAACCTCAAGAAGTGTGAGGTAGCAGCAGGTGCACTGGATGTGGTAGGGCGTGGGCTGGGGAACACCTGGAGACCAGTCTGCTGCAGGGGCATCAATTCTGACGCTGCTGCACTGGAACTACGCTGACAGCCCACCTCCCCCAAGAGGGCCCTGGGACTTCACCTGCACCCTCTTCCCAAACCCTGGAGATAAGCCTAGCCCTGCCCCATGTTCTCAAAGTCCACCTGTTCCCCCGGTACACAGAGGGAACCCAGGTGCTCTGGGTGGGGAGGGGCTATGGGGCAGAGCTCTGAAAGACTCCCAATACAGCCCTACAGGGTAGGTGCATGTCGGCAGTGACTACAGCAGGGGACTGGTCAGCACCTAACAACACAGCAGTGTTTGTGGTTTTTGGGTTGTTAAATATAAATTATCCTGACTGATATTTAATGTTTTGCTGTCTTATGTCTCCTCTTCCAAAAACAGTTTTACAGGAAGATTGCATTTGTTGGTGGAAGAGGTATGTGTTATCAAAGACTTGGATAGACCTTGAAGGAACCTTTCTGATCC